GGTTCTTGACACTGTAATGCAATATTCAAAGTCTCTTTGACACCTATCTTGCTCTTTCCTTCCTCCTCTGTCTTTGTAATGGCATTTTGCATTCTTCATGGATGATATTCTTGTTATCTTCCCACAGCTTATCTGTTCTTCACTCATTAGTGTTTAAGGCCTCAAACCTGTTCCTGAGATGATTTTGAAATACAGATGGGGTAGACTCAGGGTCAAATTTTGTTTCCTCTCGATTTGATTTTTCTTAGCTTCATCTTGAACTTGCATATAAGTAGTTGGTGGTCTGTTCCACAATCAGCACCTGGCCTAGTTTTCACAGCTCGTATAGAGCTTCTCCAGCGGTTCTTTCCACAGATGTAATCAATCTTATTTCTGTGCATAGCATCATGTGCAACCCATGAGTATAGCCTGTGTTTATCTTTCTTACAAAAAGTATTTGCAAATGAATAAATCACTGTACAGAACTCTATCATTCTATCTATAGCTTCATTTCTGTCACCAAGTCCATGTTTTCCAACTACTGATCCCTCTCTGTTCCCAACTTTTGCATTCCAGTCACATAATTAATGCATCTTGATTGCATGTTTTATTGATTTCTGACTGCAAACGTTGATAGAAATCTTCTAATTCCTTCTCTTTGGCTCTAGTTATTGGTGCATATATTTGAGTGATAGTGGTAGTCATTGGACTTCCTTGGATGTATATGGATATATGGATATTATCCTGTCACTCATAACATTATATTTCAAGATGGATCTGGAAATGACTTTTTAAACTATGTAAGTGACCCCATTTTTTCTCTCCTTTTCATCTCCAGTGTAGTAGATCATATCATCTTCTAACTCAAAATGTTTCATGCCAGTCCAACTCATTTTACCAATACCTACTATGTCAATATGTTTTTCATTTCTTTCTTAACAATGCATAATATTCCTACATTCCTTGTTCCCCATTCCACATTCCAACACGAGTATCTTCTTACAACTTTTCTTCCCCCTTTGTGTTTCCATATTTAAGAGCTCAGGCTAAGATTCCATATCTGCTAGTGCTTTGTGTTTTTTACATTAATCCTTTGCCCTAATTGTTTTCTTGAGACTTTGCTTTTCTTCACTCTTCTGTACTTTGGATGGGAAGTGACAAATAATTGAATCTTAGATAGCCATTGGAAAACTTTAAGGTCCCAGCCACGACACACAAAAGTAGGATGCAAAATATTGTCTTTATGGATTATATTGTGCATGGTGACCTAGCTGTTCTCTGAGATTATGGTACTATGCTCTCAAGATTGGTATTTGAATATATACTTCAGGTTATTTGATTATAGCAGAAAATTTTGCATAACGTTGGTGCCTTTGTTATTATGTGCCATCTAGTTGATTGACTATGACACTTAGCGACCCTATAAACAGCTCTGAATATTGCCCTATTTTCAGTCCATCTCTAACACATCTGACTCTATTGCCTCACTTACTGTTTCAATCCATCCATCTAGAGTCTTCCTCTTCTGCACTGTACCTCCACTCTACCCAGCATGATGTCCTTCTCCATGGACTGGTCCTTCCTAGTGACATGTCCAAATTATGTGAGATGGAGTTTCACAACCCTTGCTTCCAAGAAGCAACCTTATTTCACCCTCTCTAGGATAAACCTGTTTGCTCTCTTGGCAGTATATCATATGTTCAATATTCCTCTCTAGTACCACAACTCAAAGGCATCAATTCTTCTTTCATCCTTTGTCATTATACAGCAGGTACTCCTTAGTCTCTAGACTGATTCTGTTGCTCTTTAATACTCTGGAGAGGTCCCTGACAGCCGATTTTCCTCAATCAACTTATCTTTTGATTTCACGACTGCTGGTGCCAAGAATGTTTGTTGTATATTTGAGCAAGATGAAATTGTTAACAACCTCAATCTTTTCTCCATCTATCATTATACTGCCTTTTTGCCTGATGTTGAGAATCTTTGTTTTCCTGATGTTGAGGTGCAATCCATATTGAAGGCTGAAATGTTTGACCTTTTACAGAAAACTCTCTTTAGTTTGGGCAAGCAAAATTGTCTTTTCTCCATAACGCAGATTGGTGATAAGTATTCCTCCAATCTTGATGCCACATTCGTCTTCATGAAGTCCAGCTTCTCGAATGATCTGCCCCGCTTATAGATTGGAAAGGTAAGAAGAAAGGATACAGCCCTGATGTACTCTTTTCTTGATTTTAAACCATGCAGTGTTCCTTTGCTCTGTGAGGACAACAGCTTCTCATCCTAAGTATAGGTTTAACATAATTGCCTCCTTATATACTATTATATATCTGGATATCTTTCTAGCATATATAAATAAATATGTAAAACTATCTTCATCCAACTTGGGAGCAATCTTCTTTGCTATCCCACATCTTGACAGCTTAAATATTTGCCAATCATAAAATTATTGTTTGTCACGATTGTTGGAGGATTGTGTATAGAATACAATTTACCATTTTTGTTTTTGACTCTATCTCCCAGTAATCTTTTGCTGTGATCTTGCCATGCTGATCTCTCCTTTATTGTATTTTCATTTCCCTTCACCCAAGTTAAGACAAGTTTTTTATCTAATTAGTGTTTTTCCTCTCCTTCCCTCTCTAATCCCTGGTGATATATTTGTGTCATAGCTCTTTTTCTCTAAGGTGTATACTTAGTGTGGTAATTGTTAGATCATATGGTATATCTATTTCTAACTCGGTAAGATTGTATCATGCCATTTTCCACAATATTTGAACAGTTTTACACTAACGTCAGCAGTATATGAGAGTTGCAATTTCCTCATACCTAGCCAGAATTTGTTTTGTCCTTATTGTTGTTTTGTGTTTATTGTTTTAATCATTGCTATTATTGCTAATCATTATTTTCAAAGATTGGTTGCGTAGGAGAACTCTGCTGTTAAGGACCTCTCTAAAGTGCTAAAGAGCAATAATGTCAGTTAAAAACACTAAGGTGCACCTGATTCAAGCCATGGTCTTTTCATTTACTTCCTATGCATCTGAAAGTTAGCTAACGTTGAGGAAATGAAAGCAGCAGCAGTGCCTTTGAATTGTGGTGGAGAAGAGTACTGAATAACTCATGGATGGTCAAAAGAACAAACAAACGAAAATTCTGACTTGGAGGAAGTACAATCAGGGTACTCCTTAGAGACAAAGATGGTGCAACTTTGTCTCACATACATTATGCATGTTGTCAGAAGGAGCTTATCCTTGGCAAAAACTATCATGCTGGGCAAGATGAAGAGTCAGGGAAAGAGAAGAAAACTCCCAAGATGGATTGACACAGTGACTGTTACAGTGGGCAAAAACATATCAGAGACCATGAGACTGGTCCAGGAGAGTGTTGCTAAGAGTCATCATTGACTGATGGCAGCTGTGCTGCATCCCCAATAGGCACTTTTATTCAAACTTTGTAAATATATCAGAGTCATATTTAAAAAATTTAAAGCACAACAACAACAACAAGGCACCTGGTTTCAAATTCACCAGTTGCTTCATGGGAGAAGGATCAATGGGCAGTCTCCTTCCAAGCAATTTACTGCCTCTGAAAACCCACTGGCGAGTCAGCTATGGATTGGTTCTGACTCGATGGCTCACACCAACAATAACAATTATTGCTGAGGTGAAATGACATCTCATTTTTCTTTGATTTATATTTTTTTTATTATTTTTGTGTGAGTGTACCGTCAAATCAGATCTGACTGGTACAGGAGGAGATTGTCCCTCCTTCCCCAGCAGAGCATCTGGTGGATTCGAACCGTGCACCTCTGGCATTGTAGTTGCAGCTCCTTGCCGCTAGGCCACCAGAGCTCCCCTTGATTTATATTTTTTAAGGCTACTGGTCATGAGCTAGTGTCCCTTTATATGTTTGCTGCCTGCCTCCATGTCTTCTTTGCTGAGGGTCTTCTCCACTTTGAGCAAGTAAGGTTATATGTGTCATTTGTATATACCCACTGCAGTTGTGTTGATTCTGACTACTGGCAACCCTCCATTAAGCTTCTGAGGCTATAAATTTTAAGAGTATCAGAAGGCCTCAACTCTCTCCTGCAGAGTAGCTGGTGGATTCAAATTAGGCACCTTTCAGTTAGCAGCCCAGAACACAATGTACTGTATCATCACAGCTCTTTCATCTGTATGCAGCAGGCTGGCTGTCAGTGAGCCTTTTTCCAAATGAGATGCTGCATTCTTCTTCATATAATGCATACTGTATAGTGAATAGCTATAACCTTGACTCATACCTTGTTCTGTTCCCTTTGTTTTGTTTGAATGATTATCTCTTGATACATGCTCAAATTCAGCATGAAAAATAGTAAGTGTTCTGGAATTCCCTTTATTTCATTGTGGCCCATAATGTGTTATTATCCAGAGAGTTGAATGTCTTTGCAAGGTTAATAAAGCTATAATAAAGAATGGTACTGAAGAAAGAAATCTAAGATGCATCGAATGCATTGGCAAAACCAAGACTCCCAAGTATTGACAGACTACAAATTGAGATATTTCTACAAATGGTTAAAATGCTGGAAGCACTCATTCATCAATATGAAGAAATTTAGATGACAGCTCTCTGATCAACCAATTAAAAAGATCCATTTTTATCCCCATTGCAAAGAAAGGTGGCCCCACAGAATACAAAAAATATATCAATTAATGTCACATGTAAATAAAATTTTGCTGACATTAATTAAAGAATAATAGCAGCATTATAGCAACAGAGAATTGTGAGAAATTTTAATCAGATTCAAAAGAGGATGAGAAGCAAAAGGTATAATTGCTTATATCAAACAGATTTGACTGAAAGCAGTTAATACCATAAAGGTGTCTACTTGGGTTTTATTAACTATGCAAAATTGTAGGTATAGATTATATAAAGACATAATTTTAATCTATAGAGGTTAAGAAATAGAATAGAATCAGAGTATATACCATGATTTATTCATCTGTATGGCTTACTGAATCTTCAAATCTTCAACAATACTCTGTCTCCAGGGGACCCGCCAGAGCAAGAACTATGGCTTATTTCGGGGAAGGCAAAGGACCCATCCATGTAGATAATGTGAAGTGCACAGGAAATGAGAGATCCTTGGTTGACTGCATTAAACAAGATATTGGCAAACACAACTGTCGCCACAGTGAAGACGCAGGAGTTATTTGTGATTATTTTGGAAAGAAAGCATCAACTAGCAGTAATAAAGGTAAGTCACCTTTTGGGGACTTATAAAGCAAAGAATACCAAGCCACTTTTCACTTCTGTATAACATACTTGGTAACAAAAATCTCATTCAACAAGAATTCATGTAGCCCCTTGTGCTAGTATTTATAGGATGTGGTCTCTTGACCAACTTTCCTGGGTGAGAACAAGGTTCCTGGCTTGAATAGATAATGCTGAAGCCCTCTACTTTTTATGTTTTCATATCTTTCCTTATCTAGATTTAATTAAAAATCTTCCAGACTTGTTTCTAACCTTGAAGAATAAGAATTGAGATTTATGCCATTAAAAGAAGAGACAATGGTCCACAGGGAGTTGCACTGCTAACTCAAAGGCTGAGAGTCTTGTTGCTTGAATCCATAAGGGGCTCTTCATGAGATGGGCAATCTCCTCCCCTGTGATTTTCAAACTAAAAAAGCAATGGAAGGTCATGTACTAGTTGGTCCCAATTTCCTTCAGCTATGAAAGAGTCACTAAAAGAAGTGAGAAGAAAATATAATCATGAATCTTTGAAAAGCACTTCTTTCATAGTAATATTTGAAATGGACAAGCTAATTTAAATAGGACTTTTTCAAGGAGAAAACGTTTTGCAGGTCTGTCTTCTGTCTGAAATGTAAAACTTAAAGGAAATGAGAAATAGCTTTTTAGTATAGTGCAATAAATAACGTGTTACTGTTTTGAAAAATAGAGAAGTTTTTCACAGCTTCAGATAAATATATATGGAGAAATATGTGGTCATAGTTTATAAAAAGAAAATGAACCTATTTATCTAGGCTGAAAGATAATTATGAAGCACAGGATTGTTTTAAATCCAGGTGCATCTATATTTGATCATTGTCTTTTTCTAACATCTTTCACTGACTGCCAGTGGCAATACAATAAATTAATTTGATGTTGCTAATAAAATTCTTCTTTATCTGAAAAGCTTTGGACTCTGGAGAAGAATATTTATAATACTTGGCATATTCTTTTTTATTCTGTGCAAGGGTATGTGTGCATGTTTGTGTAATTTTAATGGCTAAACAAATTTCTTCAACTATAGTTAAAAATTGCAAATAATTCTTCGAATATATTTTAAAAATTCTTTAAGCAGATGATAAAATAGAAAAATACCAATATGAAATTTTTGCTACAGAAATCTATTTTTAAACGCATCATACTGTGATTTTTTTTTGTTTATACATTTCTTTTAAGCTTTCCTAGGGTTGTAACATTGACGTTGTTAGAAACCTCTGAGTCAATTTTAACTTGTGTGTAGAATTGTAGTGCTCTTTAGATGGCTCTTCACAATGACAACAACATGGGAGTTTGAGGGAGCTCTTGTGAATATCCTATGGGTGACCAAAACAATAAATAAATATGTCTTGGAGAAAGTATAACTAGAGTGTTCCTTAGAGGCAAAGATAGTGAAACTTTGTCTCATATACTTTAGGCATATTATTAGGATGGGCTAATCCTTGGAAAAAGACACCATACTTGGAAGGTAGAAGGTTGAGAAAGAGGAAGACCCTCAACAAGATGACACAGTGACTATAAAAATGCTCTGTATCAGAGTTGATGAAGATGCCATAGGATAGGGCAAGGTTAATATCCATTGTTCTTAAGGTTGTTATGAGTCATAGTCAACTCAATGGCACATAACAACAATAACTGGAGGCCTAGTCCATAGAGAATTTTACTGCTGACCCAAAAATACACCTCTCTGGGAGTTCAGATTTTCCAGTGACTCCTCAAAAGAAAGGCCCAAATAGTTAACCCCCAGCTTTCAAGTAAATCACAAACACCCACCAGGATCCAACTATGCCAAGCTAAAGGCTCACTTACAGGCAGGACCAGACTGACTTTTAAATACAAAGTCCCACCCACTAGATCCTGTTTGCCTACACAAGAGGCTTCCCACCCAAGCTGACTGTAAATGAGATCTTATACAGTTAATCAGCTTACACTTGATTTCTAACACAATTAGAAATGCCCAGTTTATCCCCAGCTTTCAAGTTAATCATAAACACTTACCCAACCAGGTAAGTATCCATCAGGTAGGTAATCATCAGGACTGGAGACTCATTAATAACCTGCATTATGAAGATGACACACCTTACTTGACTAAAAGTGAGGAGGACTTAAAGCACTTGTTGCAGAAGATCAAGGAATGCAGCCTTCAGTATGAATTGTGTCTCAATATAAAGAAAACAAAGATTCTTACCACTTGACCATTAGGCAGTGTTGTCATAGATGGAGAGGAGATTGAAAGTGTCAACAGCTTTACTTTGCTTGGATCCACAATTAACGTCCTTGATATGAGCAGTCAGAAAATAAGGAGACACATTGCACTGGGAAAATCTGCCATTAGGGACCTTTCCAAATAATTGAGGAGTAATGATGTCAATTTGAGGACTAAGGTGCATCTGACTCAGGCCATGGTCTTTCCAATTACTAGCTATGCATCTAAAAGCTGACAGTGAATAGGATTAGAGGAAAAGAACTGAGGCTTTTGAGCTGTGGTGTTGGATAAGAGCACTGAAAATCCCATGGACCACCAAGAGAATTAACAGATAGATATGTCTTGGAGAGGGTGCAGCCAGAGTTCACTTCGGAGGTAAGAATGATGAGGCTTTGCATCACATACTTTGGGCATGTTGCTAGGAGGTGCTATTCCTTGGAGAGGGACATGATGTTGGGAAAAGTAGAGGGTCAGAAAGACCCTCAACCAGGTAGATTGACATGGTGACTGCTACAATGGGCTCTTGTGTGTTAGGAAGTGAGAGAATGGTACAGGACAGAACAAGGTTCAGATCTTTTGTTCACAGGCTCATTGTGAGTTGTACTCTACTTGACATCACCTAACAACAACAACCACCTCAAAAGAAAGTTGGGAAGTGAAGTCTCTTCCTGTGCTATTTACAGTCTCTGAAAATCTGCTGGATGTTTAGTTATGGGTTTGATTTGACTCTACTGCACAAAGTTTGCATTTTAGAAGCTTTTAAAGACTATGACCTTTCAGATCTCTAAGACTTACTAACCAAAGTGTCTGAAGGTGGGTTTGACCCATCAGCGTTTTGGTTAATGGCTGAGCACCTAACGATTTATCTACCTTGAGACTTCATGTAGAAATGTTTACTATACTTTAAAAAAAAATCACATCTCAGACATGTATGCTTTCAGAATCTATCTTGTTGCTTTTGTGTTGAGGCTCAGGACCTACTGACTTCTGTTAAGGTGATTTAAACTCAAGACATCTGATTTGATAATTTTGTTAATGATCCTCCTTTTAACTTTATTTTAATAATAATTTTAAAGGTTTCTAATTTATTGCCATCTGTCTCTTTGTCTTAGATGATGTTAGCATTATGATTTGCTTTCTTAGAATTACACCACTCTTTGTCCTGGTATTTTAAACAATCTGCATTATGCAGATGGCACAACTGTGTTTGCTGAAACAGAGGAGGACCTGAAGCACTTGCTGCAGAGGGTCAAGGACTGCAGCCTTCAATATGGATTGAGGCCCAAGGTCAAGAAGACAAAGATTCTCACCACTGGACCAATTGACAGCATCAGAATGGATGGTGAAGAGATTAAGATTGCTCACAGCTTTAGTTTGCTTGGCTCCACAGTCAACACTCTTGGCAACACAGCCAGGAAATTAAAAGATGTTTTGCAAAAAATTTAAAAAAAAAAAAAAGATGTTTTGCAGTGGAAAAGTCTGCTGTTAGGGACCTCTCCAAAGTACTGAAGAGCAATGGTGTCTCTCTGAAGACTAAGGTGCACATGATACAGGCCACGGTCTTTGCAATCACTTGTTATGCATCAGAGAGTTGGACAATGACTAGGAAGGATAGAAGGAGAATTGATGCCTTTGAGCTGTGGTGCTGAAGAAGAATATTGAATGTACTGTGGACTGCTAAGAAGACAAGTTCATCCCGGAGAGGATTAAACTGGGCGGCTCCTTGGAGGCAAGGATTCTGAGGCTTCATCTGACATACTTTGGACATGTAAGGAGGGACCAGTTCTTGGAGAGGGATATCATGCTTGGTAGGGTGGAGGGACAGTGCAAGAGAGGAAAACCCTCTATGAGGTGGATTGATTCTGGGGTAATCGGATGGGTGTATTGGAGACAGTGTGATTGGCACAGGACAGGGCAGAGTTTAGGGCTGTCACTATGAGTCACAAGTGACTCGACAACGCATAACAACAACAAATATATATATATATATTTGGAGCATCATGATCATGGAAAATATTATCTTATTTTTTCCAATTATCTTCTGGTTTACCATGACTTTTTAAAAAAAATTCATTAATTTTAATGGACATTTACAGAGATTTTGGATTTCCATTCATTCATTGTTGCACTTTTTTCTCTACCGCCCCCACCCCCCAGTTTGCTCCACTCTTTGAAAAGCAAAAGATAAACTCCTTCGTTGCTATACAATCCCTCCCCTCACTCCCCCAATGCACTCCACTATGGAACCTTAATTCTGGATTCCTGTGATAATCACAATACCCTATCATATATTGCTTTTAAACTGTTCTCTCCCTCATTTGTTTCAATTCAGTATATGTAATCTATCTAGTTTTTCTCAGTCTTACCCCAACCCTGATGTCAGTCCCATTCTATAACAGTCACACTGTGCAGTATTTGTCCTTTTGTGATCGAGATATTTTACTCAGCATAACGTCCCCCAGGGTCACCCATTTTGAATAATATTGCATGAGTTTCTTGTTTTTCAGTGCAGTGTAGTATTCCATTGTGTGAATATACTACAGCTTCTCTATCCATTCATTTGTTGATGCGCACTTAGGTTGTTTCCAACTCCTTTGTATTGTGAACAAAGCCATGGTAAAGATGAGTGTGCCATATCTGCTTGGATGGTGGTTATGGTTTATTTAGGGTATATTCCCAGTAGTGGAATTGCTGGGTCAAATGGTATCTCTATTTGCAACTTTTTGAGAGAGCGCCACAGAATTGCTGGGTCAAATGGTATCTCTATTTGCAACTTTTTGAGAGAGCGCCACCCCACTTTCCATAGTGGTTGCACCATTTTACACTTCCACTAACAGTGAATAAGGGTTTCAGTTTCTCCACAACCTCGCCAGCATTTGTTTCTTGCTGTTCTGTTAAATTTTGCTATTCTGACCGGGGTGAGATGATATCTCATAGATGTCATGCCTTTTAATAAAAGTTCTTATCTGCTAGGATATTAAGTTTAAGTAGACAAAATGCCTCTAACATTTGGAAAATTTATCATCTTGGAACACATTGTTGAACTAAAGGCATTGCCCTTCTACTAGTTGGTGAAAGTAAGAAGGAAGATGAGGAGAGGATGAGTATACACATATTGGTGTCTGAGTTAATGCATCCTTACTCTGTGTAGTTAATGATTAAGGTGGGTTTTATGCCTTGCTTAGTGAACTTGACCAAGATCATATGATTTTCAAGTGGCAACGAATGTATTCAGACTGAAAATATCTGATACCAATGCCTGGATTGTTTTTCAGTTGGCAGGAGCTTGGGGTCTTATTATAAATGTTTTTGAAGCTTAAACCATACAGAAACTTATTGGATCCTGATTCTAATATTCCATTTTCCTTTGATCAGCATCTCCTTAGACCTGCGCCCATACTATTCATCCTTTCCATCATAGTTTGTTAGTTTTCAATTTACATTGTCTTTAGTAATTTCATTTGGTTGAGAATTGTTTTTCTAGCTAGAGTTCAGGCTTTCTGAAAGTCTTGCCTTTCTGAGCACAGAAGACACAGTAAATGCTTGATTAGGAAGTGGGTAAGATAATGAAATTTCACTGGCTTTATGGTAGAAGTTTTTATGCTATGATAATGACAAATTAATACTTCCACATTATGAAGATGTTTTGTTTGTTCTTGAAACCTTGAGACATTTGACTCTGTCATTGCTGTACAGTCAGACTCATAGCTGACCTGCTCTTAGATTATTGAAAGATATAAATCACAAGGGAGGCGATTGTCCATCTTTCTTCTCATGAGTGGATGGTGGATTTGAGCCATAGGAAAGGTTTAAGCTTTGGGTTACCAGTGCAGCTTTCTATGGTAGACTATCAGAGGTCTACAGTACAGATTTCAGCCTTGGAAGCTGCATTAGGAAGTTCTACTCCATACTACAGGGTCTTTATGAGTTGGAATCAACTCTAAGCCATGAGCTTTTACTGTGATGTGATAGTTTCACTAATGACCTATTTTTGCTTCAGAGTCCTTTTCATCTATGTGTGGTTTGAGGCTATTACATCGTCGACAGAAGCGGATCATCGGTGGAAAAAATTCTTTAAGGTAAAATGTTCTTCGGAAGATTGTGTATGTGTGTGTGTGTGTGTTACAAAATACTTGTATACAGTAATGTGCATGTAGTAATCAACAGGTTTTCAGAGGCAGTAAATTTCATGAAGAGACTGTCCATCTGTATCCGGCATAACAGTTGGTGGTTCCAAACTATGTGCCTTTGGGTTGCAGCATACTCCTTACCACTAAACTACAAGAGCTCTATATAGGCAACTTCAGCTTTGTAACTCTGTTTAAGGATTTTATCCTAACCATCTTATTTTCCCAATTAAGTGGAGATTTCATTGATCATTTCACTGTCCTTTGACCGTCATTTACTTTACATATAGACCTTGTTTAATACCACTGTCCCCTAATTCAACAAATAGATGTGTGGCTAGAGAATTCTGGCATATAATTTAACAGCGGAGTTGTGAGTATATGGGGGGGATGTATCACTATTAGATTTAGAATATATTTATTTCACTCAATTCATGTTAATACTTTTTAAAGATATTTTTTTAATTTAGTAATTACATGGGAAATATACTTTGCTTACTAAATGCTTTGTTAAATTGCTCAGTTGAAGTAGAGTGAGGAGCAGCAGTATGTTTCAAATCACAAAAATATAAAGAGGAGTAAACTTAATTGCAAAAGTGTGAGAGATGGAACAGGACACGGGGGCACAGAGCCGTGAGTGTCTCTGAAAGGCCCAGAGGGAATGAGAATAGCATTGCACAGCCTTTAATTGCCCCAGAGCAGAAAGCAGATAAAGAGGCTGTAGCCCAGCCCCAAGGTGCCTGCAGATCCACACCAACAGGAAGAGGTTCATGTATTCATTGTTGACTCACAGACTTACAGACTTACAGTTGGGTACTGAGAATGCGAAGTAAGTTGGGAGACTGGGGGAGGCAAAGAATATCATCCAATGTAAATCCAGGACTTAGTTCATCAATTCCAAGGCATAATTCCTCAATTAGTCCAGATGTCAGTTTCAGTTCAGCAACACTAATTCAAGAAGCCTCTGTTGTTGTTGTT